CTAGAGGCCGTTGTATTTATTTCCACAACGGGCCTTTTTCCTAGTATTGTTATATTAACACTTTTATTAATAACATTTAGATTAACATGGATATGATCTCCTCCTCTTGGGTTTTTAGTGTAGTGTGGTTATCTATCCTTTATCCTTAGATGTTAGCCTCCTCCCTTATATTTTCTTTGTAGTTTTGTAGTCTTATAAAAAATAATAAAAATATCCCTCCGGGGATGCCCCCCCCCCAAAAAAAAATAACAGCCCAGTATGTTGGAGTACATTTTTGTTGATAGATGTGAAATTTTATTTATTTATTAATTTGATTTTTACCCCACCCTCCCTGCCAAGGCAGGTTCAGGCGGCTGACACAAGATAGCAATAAATAAAACAACAATATAAATATCAATATAAAACACACAACATAGTTATTAAAAACAATTTACATAGCGAAGGTGGTACCGCTGTGGTAAAGTGCATATGAAAACTTCTTACTGCCACACAACTATAGTCATGTAAGTCTGCTTAACCTTGTATCTAGAGTGGCTGTTTCTTAATGCCTGAAATATCACCAATAATGATTACAACGTGTATTTAGCAATTTTTGGTTTTGAATGACCTCTGTTTCTTACTTGTAAACCAAAAGCCATCTGAGGGCTTTGATTCTTCCAAAATATGGCGTATCATTGTAACTTCGTTAACATATATATTTTTCAACATTGCCCATCAGAGGAGTAAATGCTCCTTGCTTTCAAGAGTTTCCCTTGATTCAGAATATTATAGTCCTGGAAAACATGTTTGTTTTGTTTTAATTTTAGTCATTACAGCTCAATAGAATTGAATGAGTCCAACATAGCTGTAGTTTATGAAATGGCCATTGTTTTTCACTAGAGAAATGCCTGCCATTATTCTGGACCTAGAAGGAAAGCCTGCATAGAGCCCATGTATTCCAGGAGCTCCAGGAGAACAATGTATCTACGTGTGCCCTGTACACACAGATGCTACACTATTGGAACAGGAAAGCAGGTTTTGCACCCATCATAAAACTGCCTTCAGTGTAGTTGTTTACCATAGCAGTGAATCATATCCATTCACTTATATTTATTTATTTATTTGTTATAAGTATAATCCACCTTTCTCCCCAGTGGGTACTGAAAGTGGTTTACATTATTCTCTTCACCTTCATTTTATCCTTACAACAGCCCTAAGTTAGGTTAGGCTGCGAGTGTGTGACTAGTCCAAAGTTGCCCAGCAAACTTTCATGGCAGAGCAGTGATTTGAACCTGGGTCTCCCAGGTCCCAGTCCAGCACTCTAACCACTACACCACATTGGCTGTCTTAACAGGATAACTTGGAGCCCTGACCTAGATAGCCCAGGCAAGACAGATCTCGTCAGACCTCAGAAGCTAAGTAGGGCCGACCCTGGCAAGTACTTGGAAGGGTGACCTCCAAGAAATACCAGGGCTTGGACGCAGAGGCAGGGAAATATCAAGCCACCTCTCTGAAATGTCCTAGCCCAATTAGGGATCGCCAGAAATCTCCATGACTTCCAGGCACTTAAGTGCGCGCACACACACACAAAATACCAAAAGAAGGGCACTTGGAAACAGTATTTGAATATGGGAGGAATCAACCTGCCTCCTATCCCTGGTGACTTGTATCTGCAGTGAAGGCCAGGTTTTGTTTCCTGTCAACTATGCCCAGATTGAAGCCTGATTGCTTTGCCCCAGAAAACACAAACCACCAGGTGCTGAGTTAAGCTCCTAAATACATTGTGCCACCTCTCCATCTACCCTTTCTTATCCTTGTGCATCATTTTGTGTTAAGATATAAGAGTTATGACATCCCCTTGGAAACTGCTTTTATAAAAACTGCAGATTTTTCAGGCTGGCAACTATAGCTGGAACAATGTACCCACTAAGAAATGAAACCTTCCCAGTGCCAGATAATCGGGTGAGGCTTTTGCACATGTTAGCCCTTGAGGTTTGCCGTTCACTACATGGTTTTTTTGCATCAAATAATGTCTTGCCCATATAATCTGTGACAATCTCCACCCCCTGCACTTGGTCAAAAATGCCACTTCCTCACTTAAGTTGCCGATATTGGGCACATTTGCAAGATCAAAGCACTTGGATTTTCTGTTCAGAGATTTTAGTCTCCCATTTGAAATTCTGAGTTTGTTTGCATAGTCAGCATGAAATATGGTGCATAATGATGCTTTTGATTTTTCCTCAAATATAAAACATAGTTGTGGACTGGCTCACTTGGCATGGTATATATTACTTTTAAGCCAATTTCCCAACCCAACATATTGACTGCCTTTTACTAATTATCATAAAATGTGGTTTTGGACGAACAGTTGGCTAGAGCAGGTGGGAAACCAGAGAAGATGTTGCTTTCCCTCCATAGCTGTAGATGGCTGAGTGAAGTCTTATGCCAAAACTTCTAATTTTGTTTGTTTGTTTCTAGGGAATTCTGGTGTGACCATTGAATCCTTTACCTTTTGGAAACCATCATGTTTCTGACAGTCTGAATGACTGCCTGCTCCCCACAGTCCCCGGGCAAACTTCTAGGCCATGTCCCCAGATGGCTGCGCCAAGTCCTTCAACAGCAAACGATGCATCATTGAATATGTCAGGGCAAATTAGAAAGCAGGCTCGTCACATTAATCTCAGACTCTGAGCTGGCAGTTCCTATGTTCTAGTGTCACTTGATCCTGGCTGTTATACTCCCATCTCCACCACAACAGCCATGGGAAATTTCCCTGGGCAGCATACAGATAATAACGCATTGTAATGAAAAGCTGGAGGGAATGTTTTCTTGGCATTGGCCACCATTGGCTGACACCTTTCTGTTACATTAGGTTGCCTTATGGCGTTATATGGAGAAAGGTATTACTTTCATTGCTTTTTGTGTGTGCTGTTTGAGCACGTCTTCTCACTAACTGATAGCTTATTGGATTATGCTTCATAAGCAAAGAAGAGAAAAGTATGTACTTTAATGTTGTGTTGTGTGTCATCCTCCCTCAGTCTGCTCTGTATCCTTTTCTCCTTTTCTTGACGTCTCAGTTCTTTTACTCCATGAGATGGAAGATGAAGGTTGTGAGGGAAGACATAATCTATACTGACTATAATATAGATCTTTCAGAAACCATCCTTGTAATATCAGATGCTGAAGGACTATCTGATCCAACGATATTTCAACTGCTTATGGAAAGACTTTATCTTTCAGAAGAATTGTGGTTTGCTCATGCTTAGAATCAATTTAAATTAGACCACCATTAATAATCCACACAGAATAGGATGGCTGCACCAAGATACATGCTTGCAGCACTTTGAATGTCTGTGATATGAAGCAGAAAAACTGATTTCCTTCCAGATTAGGAGATGGCTGTGGTAAGGCCAGAAATGAGCGTTGTGGTGTTCCTACGTTTTAGGGGCCATGTCTAAGCCTGGCATTTGCAGCTCAAGGGTCTCAGGCAGCAGGGCTGAGAAAGGTAACTCAGGCCCAAGACCTCAGAGAGCTTCTGCCATTTGGAGTAGACAACACTGAGCCAGATGGACCAGTGATCTGACTTACATAAAGGGGATTCTTATGTATAAGTTACTGCTGCCATGCTAAAAGCAATGTTCCAGTTTTCCTGCCATTCCACTTTTATTTCATATCCATAATATAAAACCCTCCCAGTCCTGCTATATGGCCTGTGCTACTATATGTATTCATTTATTAAAAACACATATTAACCCACCTTTCTCCCAGACAAACTGAAACTCAAGGTGGGTACCATGGCTATTAAAAATGGCCGGCAATAACACATTTTAAATTTAAGTACAAATTTTATATATGTATATCGCTGTATACGCTGTAGCCTCTTCACTTCATGAAGTCTCTTCATTTTGGACTGTAGGTCTAACAACACATTATTTGTAAATGAATGCAATTCAATCCTGATGTTCTTTCTTTTTAAAAAGAGCCATAGCTTTAAGAGAAGCCACTTTTGAGTAGAAAAGTGGGAGGATGCTGAACTCTTTTCCTGTTTGCCATTTAGTTATGGAGAAACAGTTTTTCCCCTATAGACTTCAAAACACAGGTAAACACACATTTTGAATCCTGGGGTGGGGAGCCTTTTGCAGTGAACAATTTAGAAAGGAGAAATGGTAGCAAGAAAAGAGTTAATTACCTCCCACCTCCCCTCCTATTTCTCTGTGAAATTACCTTCTCCCCGAATGATTATTTTTAATAACAAAGAATGGCTTTGGACTGCCCGTGTGTGACTGTGACATCTAGCAAATAGTCCAGCTGAACATGCTAGTCCCAACATTTGTAGTATCTGTGGGCAAGGGTGCTTGGATGTATATTAACTGGAGAATTTCTCCTCCTCCTCCTCCTTCCAGACAGGTGATTAAGCACAGGTTTATGACTCTGCAAAAACTGCAGTAAGGTACCTCAGGGAGGACTCTGATGAGGGGGCATAAACATCTCCTAAGTAAACAGTAAGGTTTAACCTGGACCTAATACTATCCCCTCATTTGTGAGCAACAGCAATCTGTGAAGGATATCTGTAAGCTAAGTGGTTAATGGTCAGGCAACAGTACAGAATACAATACTTGCTTTGATAATAGAATAATTTCTCTTCTGACTCATTTCTATTGTTTCTTATCTTCCCAGGTACCTGTGCTAAGGCCCATGGATTTAATGGTGGAAGCAACTCCCAGACGGGTTTTCGCAAATGCACACACGTATCACATCAACTCCATATCCGTTAACAGTGACTATGAAACCTATATGTCAGCGGATGATTTGAGGATAAACTTATGGAACTTTGAAATAATCAATCAAAGTTTTAGTATCCTTTGCTACGTGAATCTTGCTGGTGTTCTTGTCTAATCAGAAGAGGTTCTTCTAAAAGTTTGATCTGAGAAGAAACGGCGTGTTTGAATTTCAAGTCTGCATCTCGTGAATGGTTGGTGTGTTGTGCTCTAAAGTACATTTTTTGCATTTGTTCTTATTCGCCCTTCCTTTCCTTTGGCCTGTAGACAAACTTTGCTTTATATAACAGTGAAGCAGCACTTATACAAGTTCTATATGAGGCTATGACTTTGCTCATTGTCTTAGTTTTTGTCATGATTCTTCAGCAAGCAGTGTACTAAATAGTCATCTGCTCTCCACATGAACAAGGGTATTTCTTCTGTTAGAAGTTGTCCCATTAAAATGTTCTATGAATAACATGGGAAAATGTATAGGTGATTCTATAAATAATCTGTATTTAGGAAGCTGCTAGGGTTTTTTTGCTCTGCATTGCAGCCCTTCCAATAACATACAAGGAAAAAAGTATAGAGGCGGAGAGCTGAGTGGAATAGCCATCAAGATGACAGGCAAATATATGTAAGCATTCTGCAAAAGTTTGGATCATCCATTCATCATGCTCCTGATATTTTGGCAAGTTTATGCAAGTGGCATACCTTTTCAGGTCATAAGTAAAAAAGAAAGAACTAAACAACTGCATGAAATTTTGTTCATAGCTCATCTGAGCTGTATGGAAACATAGTTTGTCAGTCCACCAGTATAGGCTTCTTCCAAGCATTGACTCAAACCAGTAAACCATCAAAGCTGGTATACTGATAGAAGGTAATGGGGTTCCTGTGTAACATCATTAGTATAGGTCTCCATTTACACCATTAGTGATATGGGATCTGCTCGCCAATGGAATTCAATCGCACTGTTTTGGGCACAATGTATCTGAACCCTAGCCTCTATAGAAGAGCTATGTGACCAGGTCCACTCCTGTGGTTCTTTCCAATCTAAAGGAGTTGCAACAGTTGACCCTGTTTCTGTATTCTAGTGTGGCCAACTCATGAGAATTGTCATATAGGTATTAAAATCTCTGTACTAAGCACAACATCTTTTGTAGGTTCTTATGCAAAACTTTGAGAATCCAGGCTTTTGACAATACAGCACTAAGGGAAAGCATGGAAACTGTTACTAGCAAACCTGGCAAGCATCCAGTGTGTGTATGTGCAGTGGCAGCACATGTAGCAACATCAGTGGAGCATGGAAGAAAGCATTTGCTTTCCTTTCAGTTTGCCTAGAGCAATTGTAAGCTGCTTATATCTCTCTGGGCCACTATGGAAGTGGAGTACAAAAGGATAACGTTTTTGGAGGATAGCAGAGAAAGCAGAATCCTGTATGACTTTATATTCAATTAGAGGGACATCAGAAAAATTTTAAATCACTGCGGCCAAGAGGAGTAATTGCTGAGGAACATGGCCATTGGTATCATCCAAGACACCTTTATGTGAGTTGGCTTATGATGCTACCTGGAGAGAAAAATAAGGGGTGCAGTAGCAGGGCCAGTACAGAGTTGTCTACCCATGAAACCCAAATATGTGAAGTTCTAGTGCACATTTTTGAATTTACAATCCAGCAGTGGTGCTCTATGCAAAAAGTACCAGAGGATTGTGGGGAGATCATAGTTCTCATTCTGTTAGAAGTGTGTGAATGGTGCCTTGGCAGCCTCTAGTTCTACTCATTATAGAGGGGAAATCCTTGGCTCGTTTGAGCATTGTTAGTATTTTTCATCACAGGCTGCAGGCACACAAGGAGTTTGTGCTGATATCATTGCGGTACCTTTGTGGATTTAAAGAGCATGATCAGACAGCAACATCTGCCTTCCGTGCTCCAGTAGTTGCCCCCCCGTTCTGCCCCACTTTAGAAGCGGAGTAATCAGGCACCAGGGAAAGTCCAGTGTTTATCAGTGCTTTCTGAATGTCTGAATTCCCCTGGTGTGAGCTCAACCTGGTTGGGAAGTCTGGTTGTTCAGTTCCAGTTTTGCTCCTTGGTTTTTTTAGTCAGTGATGTGCATGTAATGGCATGCACACCAACATGTTTTCAGCTGTCCTCTGAGGCGAGAAGGGGGGGAGGGAAGGGCAGGCTGAGAAGCCTCCTTTGTCTTTTTTCATGCCAGTTCCTCTGCCTACAGCTTTGCAGCACACAGTGTGGGGAAGGTGTTAATTGAAAAGATGAGTTTTTTCCAGAGGGAGAGGCAGCCTCCTGCAGCTGTCAAAATGGAGCAGTGCTTCGAATAAGCAGTTATGCACATATGCAAAAGACAAATTTTAAAAAAGAAGCTACATGACTATCCACTCCATGGTTGCCCCGCAGTAATAATCCAAGCAGTCAACTACAGGGCAAGTGCACAGTGAGGCCACTTCAGGGGGTGGTGTCTGGTCACCCCTTCCTGCGACGATGTAAACTGCCAAAAATAGAGGCGCCACCAGATCACACCAAGCCTCCAGTGTGACCAAAGCCATAAAATACTATAATTTAAATTTGCTGTGCTTCTGGCACTTTAATTCTGAAGGCACCAGTGATTCCAATTATATTCCCAAGTAATGCATTAAGGGTCTCTGTGTCAGGCCATAATCTTATTCGGTAGCACATTCCATTGAAATCAATGGGACTTGACTTCCAAAAACATCCTATATTGTACTATGCTTGTAGCTGTAAAGCCTTGTCGACAACACTGTATAAATCATAGGCCCCCTACGAGGTGCCCATTGGCACCATGGTGCCTACCAACACTTTTCCTGGCACCTGCCAAATGTTTTTATCAGATCACACCAAGCCTCCAGTGTGACCAAAGCCATAAAATACTATAATTTAAATTTGCTGTGCTTCTGGCACTTTAATTCTGAAGGCACCAGTGATTCCAATTATATTCCCAAGTAATGCATTAAGGGTCTCTGTGTCAGGCCATAATCTTATTCGGTAGCACATTCCATTGAAATCAATGGGACTTGACTTCCAAAAACATCCTATATTGTACTATGCTTGTAGCTGTAAAGCCTTGTCGACAACACTGTATAAATCATAGGCCCCCTACGAGGTGCCCATTGGCACCATGGTGCCTACCAACACTTTTCCTGGCACCTGCCAAATGTTTTTAGAAAGTGGCTGGGACCAGTGTTCCCTCTAAGATGAGTTAGTGTGAGCTAGCTCACAGTTTTTAAGCCTCTGGCTCACACATTTTTGTCTTTGCTCGGGAAGGATGGCTCCAGAGCAAATTTCTTTGTGTTTCCCTAATATTTAGTTTTTTTAAAAAAGTGCAGATTAGCTACTAATATTACTAGTTTATACAAATACAAGCATAGTTAGTCATAGTGTATAATCTTAGTATTTCGTTAAAAAATAAAAAAGAAGTCATATATTCAGAGTTAAGCTATTTATTGGCTTTCTTTCCTCTACGTTTGTTTTTATCAAAGGTTAGCTTAATTTTAAGAGGCTTAGGAGCTGCTGCTCCTAATTGTGATTCAGAGTCCAGAGTTCCTTCTGAAGAGCTACTCGATAAGCTATCAGTGCTTCCTGATCCATTCTCACTGTTATCTTCTGTAGCATTTTTGTCCTCCGCTTTTCCTTTTTCTTCTGCTGAACTTTGGTGCTATTCCAAAAATCCTTTTGCTTTTATAACAGAGTCAATCTTTTCTTTTTTCTCTTTAAAGTTGAAGATAAGTCCTTCTGGAACAATCCATTTGTAGGGAATGGAAGTTTTCTGTAAAAACAATGTCAGGTTTCTATATTGCGTCCTCCTCTTTCTCACTTCAAATGGAACATCTTTTAAAACTTTCGCTTCTTCTCCTTTGATTTTCAAAGTTATCCCATTAGTCACTTTCAGTATCATATCTCTTGTTGACCTTTTAGAGAATTTCACATTCACCAGGCAGCTTGTTTTTCTTGATAAATTCTGGATAGGTACGGTATACCATATCCATATCGCTTTGTAATAATTCCACTTTACAGTCTGCCACTGGAGCTAGCGCTTCACTTAGGATCTCTTTCAGGTTTCCCCCTTTTTTTCTGGAATCCCTTCAAATCTCAGGACATATGATGACTTTTCCATCTGCAGTTGTAGCAGCTGTTGTTTCTCGGAGGACTTTTCTTTTTCCACTGCCTCCAGTCTTTGATTTGTCTTATCATCAACCTTTTTCAGCTTTTTGGCTATCTTCTCTGTGCTTATGCTAGTTTCTTTCAGTTCCTTTTGTAGAGCATCAAAGTTGTTGTTGAGGTTAGTCATCTGATCCAGCAGGGGGCGCAGTGCTGCAGCAATCATCTTAGGAAAGTCTATGGTTACTTCTGGTCTGGAGACTGGAGTTGTTGAGCTGGTAGTTCCTGAAGAAGGCTTCACCCTGGACGCCATTTTTTCAGCCCAATGCAACATGTTTACATTAAAAGGAAAAGTTTTTAAAGCCCCTGAAAATCTATAAGCTGCTGTTTTCTTACTAGTCTGCACACCTCTTGACTAGCTTATCATTCTCCCGTCATAGCCGTCTCTTTGCCCCTCGGTTTCTTCTTTTTATAAGGTATTCTTTCCAGGGTAGAGTTGACTCCTCCCCCTCGCTACTTCTGGGGCTTCGGGGTGGCTTTGTGGTTTGCGCTTAATAGCGACTCTGGGGGGCTCCAGAATCTTCCGGGACCCCTCCCATCTGGCACGATTACAGGCTGCTCTCATCAGAGCTGCAGTGGAGCGCAGCCGCCAGCAAGTCGCCAAAACTGGGGAAAGGTTTTTAATGCCATGGCTGGTCTCGTGGTGGCGGGACCTATCAGAGCAAAGAGAAGCCTCGATCCTTGGGCCATCGCCTCAGGAGAGGCACCCCTCATGCCCTAGGCTATGAGCCCCCTCCGAGGGCTCTGGGGGGCTCCAGAATCTTCTGGGACCCCTCCCGTCCGGCACGATTACAGGCCGCTCTCATCAGAGCTGCAACGGAGCGCACCTGCCAGCAAGTCGCCAAAACTGGTTAAAGGAGGAGTCACTGTATTTTTAAAAGTTGCTTCATCAACAGCTGCCACCAC